GTCTCCGAAAGCCCCGTCGCCGGACCCCAGGAAGCAACCAGCGAACAAGCAGGCAGGCAGCCGCAGACTCGAGACCGTACACCCCCGGGAGCCCCCAGGAACGCGCAGCCCTGCGGCCCCGCCCGGCCCAGTGGCCAGAACCAGGGGCAGCGGCGGCGGCAGGGGCTGCTCCAGCAGACACCCCCAGTTTGCACGGGGGTGCCAGCTGCCCGCGCTGCTCCCAGCTCCGGGAAAGAGAGTGTGATAAGGCGCCAAGAGCGACGAGGGGGCAGCGGCCGGCTCTCCAGCAGCTGCGCGCGACTGTATGAGGTATTAGACGCCCCGGGCCAGGGTCGAAGGACAGACTGCGAGGGTCATGGTTGCAGGCGGCGAGCCCCAAGCCCGGCGCCGGCAGCGTCCGCTCGGGGTCTCGGAGAAGCCCGCCTGCACCCTGCGCCGCGCGGCTCTCAACGCCAGAGCCCTCCGCGGCGCTGGAGGTTCGCTGGGCGGTGGCGGGACGGGACGGACAGCGCGCTTCTCCAATGGCCGGGCGCCGTGGCCAGCGAGGGGCGGGGCCACTCTGCCCCGGGCAGGGTCAAGCCGCCGCCCGCCAGCCCCCCTCCTGCGTCTCTCCCTCCCGCCCCGGAGCGCCCCGCCCCGCTTCCCGGCTCTCGCTTTCCTCCCACCGGGTTTGCGGCGCTCGGGGGCCAGGCGGCGATGAAGCCAAGTCGCTTGGCCGGGCCAGCCTGCCCCTTCTCTCTCAGGTGAGAAGTGCTCCCAGATCAGTTGGCTCCCTTTCCTTCCTTTCTTCCAGCTGTCACTTCGCCCGTGGCCACCTCCCCATCAGGCAGAGAAACGTACACACAAAGAACACGGGATTTGGATTTACAAAGGTTGTGGCGTTACATCCTGGCTGTGTGACCTTGAGCAAATTGCCCAACCTCTCAGCGTCGGTTTCCTCATCCGTAAAGAGACTTGGCAGGATTAGAGATAATGCGTAAAACGCTTAGCACGGTGCCTGGTACAGCGCGAGCTCGTAGCTATTTTCACTCCTAGCTTGCTCGAGTTGGAGCCCGGCCCCTCTCCCCGCCCCCAGCCTCGGCTCGACCTGCACCCGGGAGCTGCCTGTCTCCAGCCGCGAGTGGGGGAGGCGCCCCGGAGCAGCCGACCAGCCGACGGTCTTGCGCTCCGATTTCCTCACCGTATGAAATGAAATTCCACAGGGGGATTCGAAAGGAAATGAGACCGGGACGCTCCGTGCTTCTCGGCCCGCCGCCCTTCCTGTCTCGGGGACACGGTTTCTAAATAAGGTTGGGAGGGTGAGAGGGCGGGAGGGGAGAGGCTTGACCTGTGCATGGGAGGCTGAGAAGGCGCGCAACCACCGGGGCTCCCTTCCCCCAGCCTCACGGGTATCCCTCCCCTGAAGCCTAAATCTCTATTTAACTTATTCTGCGTCCGCGAGGGTCCTGGGGATCACGCGACCAGTGTTTGGATCCAAATTTCCCCTCTCATTCCTAACCCTCCTCCCGCCCTCCTCTCCTTGGACGGAGCTTTGTGCTAGCCCACCCTCTCCACTTTCCAGTCGGGCCAGTGAAACCCTCAACAGGTGGATTCCTAAATCATTTACTAGTTGCAGCACTGTGATCAAGCTGCTGTGCCTCTCTGAGCCTCGTATTGGTCAGCTGTAAAGTAAGGAAGCTAATATCTACCCCACACAGTTGTTCTAAGAGTTTAAATAAGATAATGCTTGTAAATCATTTAGTACACAGTAAGTGCCGAATAACTTGGTTATTGTTGTGGGGCAGCCTCCTTCCTTCCAGCCTGGTGCCAAAGACATCTCCTGCAGCCCAGGTCTGAGGATCTGGGTAAAGATCTTTCATGAAAAAGAATATATATAAAACTGAATCACTATGCTGTGCAATAGAAACTAACACAATATTGCAAATCAACTATACTTCAATTTTTAAAAAACGGGGGGCTTTCTACTCTCTTCTTGAGATCTTTCTGTCCAACACTTACCACTCTTACCCAGGGGTTTAATGACAGGGACCAATTTTTGTGTGTATTTATATCCTTCCATTTCAGCCAAGTCTGGCACATGGCAGAGACTGGCTACAAGTTGGAAGGACCTTTGTACCACTCATGTGGTGCTCATATTATGTCCTGTATTTTTAGTTTTCTTATATTACCAACTCCACCTGGCCGAAGGCAAGAATGGAATCACTTGTTTTTTGGGTATTTGGCTCTGTGCCTAGAACTGGTTGGGCACATAGAAGCTGTGTTGTCTCCAGCCATCATCATACTCTTCCAGGGAAGGAGACTGTGCTAGCCCCTTAAAGAAATGAAGAAAATGAGGCTAGAACCAAAGTGATTGTTAGATGTGAAAGACCAATCAAACAGTGGGCCAAAAGAGGCCTTTCAAAGATAGAGGCTAGGGTTATTTCCCCAGAAAAGTTCCGAGCTGAAAATGTACATACTTAGCAGTAGGGTTGAATCTTCTGTATGCCTGTGCTGAGGCATGCATGAGACCATTGCCCTCCAGAGATGAATAAATGATTAGATGAATGAATCAAATGAATAGATGATTCTCACCCTGTAGCAACTCATAGGGGGAGACAAAGAATAAACAGACAACTGTAACTCGATGTGATAAGTGCACACAGAGAGAATTGTGGGTAAATCAAAGGTAGAGGTAGATGAGTTTGGAGGGCTGCTTAAAGGGAGATGCACTGCCGAATTCTGAGCTACTTGACAAAGCAGAGCTATGTGCACTTGGCACTTCTAGGGTACTTGCAGGGAGGAGAGTGGGGCTTGCTTTGTGCTAAAGATATGTGTACCTGGCTTATTAAACAGTGGACTCCATAGGGTCAAAGAGCAGGATCTCTCTGCATAGAGCCTGGCACACAGCAGGAACCCATTAGTGTTGGGTCAATCAATACTATTATCAAATCAATAACAAGTGAGTCGTACAGAACCTTTACTCTGTGCCAGATACTGTATTACATGCTTTATATGCATTATCTTATTTATTTTGCTTAAGAACATTGATGTTCTGAGAGGTTAAGCAGTGTGTCCGAGATCACACAGTAAGTGACATAAGAGGACTCATGCATATCTGCCTGGCCCAAACGTCTGTGAGCACGCTAACTGCTCTCACAGAGGAAGTTGCTCGACACTCAGCCTAATCCACAGTTAAAGATGACCCTTTTGTGGTCTGGACCTCTTATTTCTAGAGCCCTGGCAGCCCTGCCTCAGCCTGCTTGAGGCGACTGTCTCCTTTGAGAGCACTTGAAAAAGCCCCTTGCCCGTCAGAAGCTTTGCCTGTCAACAGCTTTTCTTTCCCGGCATGGAACTCATCGCAGGTATTTTCCAAAAAAGAGAGCCAGGGGAATCACATTTCAGTCTGAATGTGGAAAGAAAACAAAGACCATGACTTAGAGCTAAATCTGAATGGCCTGGAGCCCCTCAGCCTCCCTCTCGCAGAGTGGTTTACACAGTCACCAATCTGCTCCCGGTGACAGGCATGGCATATTTGTCTTTGTTGCAGAAAACACTTCCCCAAGGGAGTTGCAGGCAGAGGGCTAGCCACTCTGTGACGTGTAGAGCACTTAGGAGATGTTAGGGGTAGAAGACAGGGACATGGGAATAGACCTCCCATTAACCTGGAGTGTAGGCCATGGCTCCCTAGTGACTCTGGCCTGAGAGCCTGGGCAGCTTCCTCCATCCACTCTCTGAGTAATAAAGAGGCAGCCACTTTGGAGCGGCAACAAACATGACTTCAGCCAGCAAGCTGTTGGGCAGTTGGAGGGCTCTCCATTTGCATCTGATGAGAGGCTGAGTTCTAATTAACTCCTGTGATGTGTTAATTTTTCAACCTGACATTTTCTGCTCTAACAGATTCTTGTAATGGTTCCTAAATTAAAGGCTGCATTTGAAGACTAACGTTTAGGTTAAAATCCACCACCTGAGGGGGCGGCTGGGGGGAGCCCATAAACATCCTTTCCCTCCTAAGGAAAACCTCTCATTTGCAGTTCTTTGCTAACCCAATTAAGTGCTGAAGTAGTCACCCTGAAGCCTGCTTTTTATTTCCTGTGAAACAATCCAACTAATCCATATTCAGCCGCTTCCAAGAAAAGTCTTATTCCAACCACTCATGAAGAAACCAGCTTCTTTGAATCTGGACAGAACATTTAAAACTCACAAAGAGCTGTCTTGATAGAAAATGCAAGAAAGTGGCTCATTATTACACTGTTCAGTGTTTTGAGGGGAAAATTCACTGGGACTAAAACCTCATCATGGTTGGGAATTTACCACGGGACAGCAGAAGCGTGGGGAGAAGCCATGACCCCAACCCATCGGTGTATAGACTATAGATAGTCTGGGTGCTGCATCTTCCCCTGCACCCAAACTAGTTCTAGAACAAGAACATGTGTCCTGAGTGAAGCGGAGAGGAACTCTAATCTTGCCAGACCACCAGAAACCAGGAGGGAAACTCCCAGATCATCTGCTGCAGAACTCAACAAAGAATCTGAGACCCACTGGAGGGAGATGACTTATCCGAGACGGGGCTAAAACTAGGTATCCTCTACCCTGCCTCCAGGACTCTTCCCCCCGCCTCACACCGTCTTCCTGCCACCTCCTTGCTGAGAAGCCAGGATTGCTATAGGAACCAGGTTCCAGGCAAACGGCAGCACACCCGTTTCTCAGACCAGAGGCTTCAGACTGCATATGCAGGGAGGTAGGTCATAGATGGCTCTGCAGACCAGGCCCTTTCTCATTCTCAGTAACACTGCCGCACATGACCCCTCATGCGTTGAGAACAACTAGACTTGCCCCACCTGCCTGCCCTTCAGAGCGGCCAGTCAGTCCTCTACCTCAGCCAACCCATTTCTCCTTCCTCCTTGTCCATACACTGTTTCAGAAATGCCATATTGAACGACTTCCTCATTTCTGCTTTTGTGACTGTTCAAGCCTCCCCTGAGGGGCGAGCCGAAGCACCTGGCTATGAAGTCTGAATTACAGCATCCTCACAAGGCCAGAGTGATGGGAGTGGCTCAAAGAATGTCAGGACTGGAAGATGCCTTAGAGACCAAGGAGTCTACCTCATCATCCTATTTGCAGATAAATGTGGATACAGAGAAAAAAGTACATGTCCATTGACTGTCCACTGTGATGCTGCTCACTGGACACAGAGAGGGGCTAGAACCAAGGCTTTCTGGCTTTATGGTTCAGTACCTCCTACATCGTGCTGAAGCCTTGGCACTTAGAACACGGGGGGGGGGGACACACTGAGCCCCCTGGACAGGGTGTTGACTAAATGACAATATCTTCCAGCAAGGAAATCAGAAAATTATGTTTCCTTCTTAGAATTAAGCCCCACCGTAGTAACTCTCTACAGGGAAAACAAAAGCAATAACAAAATTTCTTTATCATCCCAGGGCTTTTGTGAGAGTCAGACATACATATATGAAGGTTCTTACCATTGGGCTTGGAGGATTCTGTTAGCTTTTCTTTGTCATCGCATTGAGTTAAAACTTGCCTGTATTGTTTTACTTAAATTCAAGAATTCTTCACTCCTCATTCCAGAGGTGAATTTTCTGTGTCTTTTGGTAAGCGTGATGCTACAGTGAAGTTCCAAGGGCTTCTGACAGGCAAGGGGCTTGGATATGGTGAAGTCCCAGGGGTCCACAGACAGACCTGCGAACAGAGCAAACAAATTAGAGCCAGAGAAATCTGACTGGAAATTTTAACTTGACAGTTGACTAGCTGTGTGATGCTCAATCAACTCAATCTTTCTGAGCCTCAGTGTCCACATCTTTAAAATGGGATAATAGAAATTATGGCAGACACTGTAGGTTGTTTAGCCAGTAGCCTCCCCCCACCCTTACTTGTCACATTCAAACCTTTTTTCCTTTCTAACAACAACATAGTACAACAAGCTGGCAAGTGCTTCAGAGGAAGACGAGCTCTTTCCTAGTTCTAGGGCATGGAAGTAAATCTCTCCCCTTGCAAATGATTGGCTTAGGGATGGCACAATTCTAACCAAAGAGATCAAAGTACAAATGGGAAATAGGTGTGGAGGGCTCATCTCTGGGATGGTTTTCCTAACTTTTAGAAAGGATACAGAAAAAGATCTGCCTCTTCTTCCTCAAGTTTTTGGATGTTGTGTGAGGATGTGATGACTGGAACTGTTGCTGCCATTTGGCTACCAAAAGGAGTGCAGGCCAAATGCTAAAGATGAATAAGTGGTTAATTTTATGTGCCCACTTGGCTGGACCACATGTGCATATATTTGGTTAAACATTATTCTGGGTGTTTCTGTGAGGATATTTTTGGATGAGTTTAACATTTAAATCAATAGACTGAGTAAAGCAGGTGGCCCTTTCTAATGTGGGTGGGCCTCATCCAATCAGTTGAAGGCCTAAATAGAAAAAAAAAAAAGATTGATCCTCACCTGAAACAAAGGAATTCCTCCTGCCTTACTGCCTTTGATCTGCAACTTTGGTGGTGTTTTCCTGCTTTCAGTCTCGAACTGAACTATCAGCTTTTCCTGGGTCTTGAGACTGCTAGACTTCAGATTGTGACTACACCATCAGCTCTTCTGGGTCTCTAGCTTGCCAATTCACCCTGCAGACCTCCATGCACAATTTGTTGCCTAATATATATTCCCTTGCCATATATATATATACATATATATATGTATACACACACACACACACACATTCTATTGGCTTTGTTTTTCTGAAGAGCCCTCATACAATGAGAGAGCAGGAAGATGGAAAGAACCTGGGTTCTTAGAGATATGATTGAGCTACTGAATGAATCCATCACAGTAGTTCCTATGATTGAATTAATCCACTGCAGTAGTCCTAATTGCTAATTAATCAACCCCAGTGGTCCTTAAGTGAGATGATACATTTCCCTTCTTGTTTAAGCCACTTTTAGTTAGATTTCTTCCTAATTTCTTGCACCTGAAGGCACTATAACTGCTCCAGCAATCAAACCAGTGGGATTATTGTGGAAAGTTAATGGTGGTTAGTAAACATTTGTTCTCTTCTCATCACGTAAATTTTAGTGCAAGACTCTCTTCTTAATAATGATAATCCCTTAAGCGGTATAGTCTTTTGTCATAGAATGCTTCCATAGGCATTCTCTTACTAGACTGTGAATTTCTTGAACACTTAGATCACATTTACTCTGTCTTTAGCTCTAGTTCCTAGCACAGGTGTTGAATGTTTCTTAGGCTATATCTTTTAATGAGTTTGTTCTTCAATGACACTGATGCTCACTTGGAAGTAATTACCTAGGAACTGGGCAAAGTGAACTGATGCAACTCTAGATGTATGCCTCATAGTATAGTCGTTGGTTATGGAACAGCTCGGTTTGGTTCTTTGATTGGCAAGCCTTATGTTAAGGTGCTTAAATATTAACTGCTGTTATCTAAGGCCTATGATATATTGAAGGCATCATTGACTTTATAACCCATCATGTGAACATTCCCTGACTGTTAGGATTTCCACCAAGGGCAGAATTAAGTTGCTTGGAAGGGCTTAGGTAACCCAGGGCTCTAGGAAGAGCAGTAGAAAATGCTAGATGTGATCCTAAAAGATAAACAGGAGTTTTAAGGTTAGATAACCATCACCTAGTTGCCTCTGTCTGCTGGAGGATGTGTTCCTCTATACACCACAGACCATAAACATGAGAGGGAGGGAGAAGGAGAGGCCCTGTGAGAGATGATTTTGGGTCTGTGCTGGGGGAATGGGGTGTGGAATGGAATAAGGTTATCAAGGGAAAGGAAACCTTTGACTGTTAGTACCTCTGGGCTTCCAAGGGGAAGAGCCTCTCTAAGGAACATTCAAGTCTTCATCATGACTCCCATGGAGACTTCGTGAATGAAGGGGATCCCTGACCAAGAAAGCCTTCTTTTTGATCAGCAAGCCTGTGAGGGAGTGATTAATATTATTTCAACAGCTATTCTCTAATTTAACCTTCACCGTATGTAGAATATAGAAGGTCAGGTGTATGGCTTGGGAATAGGCATCCTCCGTCAAGCACACTGAGCGATGGTATCAGTAATTTTTCAGACTTTACTTTGTGTGTTACTGATAGAGTAGACATCTGAACGAGGCACCCTATTTTGAGGTGACCCCTGCCAGCTAATGACTGTGGCCAAAAATGTCACTGTCAGGCTTTCTCTGTGAGGGCAGGGCATGGAGGTGGGAGAGCATGACCCTTAGGTCTTCTCTTTATGAGGTCTTCATGGTCCCTTCTGCCCACAAAAGGGACCTTAACCCTGAACAAAGGGCATGAACAATGTCAGGGCTGCTTCTAGCCCATTTTCTGTGAGAATTAGTAAATTATCCCCTCTCGGTGGACACTGCCTGAGGGGTCCATGGCTTGGTGAGAGAAGGAAGGCTAGATTTTAGCCCTACTTGCCCACAGTGGGGTGCCTTTGGACACTATATACAATCTACTCAACCATATAGGATGACCCTCCATTTTATGAGACCTTTCCCTTGGTCTTCTCCAAGTGAGGATCTTAGTCATCTGAGAGTTAATTAAAATAAATAAATAAAATAGCTTTGGTGGGGGGTCCCCTGTAAGGCCCTAAGTAAACAGTATCCCTTTTTCCTACTTGGTTCAAAACAAGTTGAATAAATGAATAAATAAGCTAAACATGTTACCTTTATTAGTGATAGAGGCCAGAATGACCAGCAGATGCTACAGGTTGGGTCTAGAAAAATAGCTGCCCTTTATTTGCCAGGTGCTGAACTGACACTGTATCTAAACTCCTCAGAACTTTGGTAGATAAATATCATGGTCCCCGTTTTATAGACGAGGAAACTGAGTTCATAAGTTGGAGAATTCAAACCCAGGCCCGACCAGCTCCAGAGCTGCCCACGTCTTACTTGGCACTGCCGCTTCTGGAGAACCAGCTGGAACACCTACAACCAAAACCCAATTAAATCAAGCAACGGTTCTTCTGAGATTTCCAAAGTTGTCCTCTGGCAGAGTTTTTCCCTATTCCCAAAGCTCTTTTTTTGGCACCAGCCAAAAAGGCCTGGCTCGTCCAGCAGATAGAGAAATGTGTAAAGCCTCAAGTCCTCCAGATCCGCGTTATTTTTCATTGCCCCGGGGAGCACTAGGTCTAATGCCAGCACGGACGTACTATTTTGAAACTAAACGCATTTCTCAGAAAACTCAGGCATAGTGCCATTACAAGGATATATTTTATATCATCACCCGGATCTTTGGTCCCACAGCGCAGTATACTGCCGCTGTCCTTCAGGCTGGGCTTTGCTGCCTGTGGAGAAGCGCTGCTTTGTTCAGCATTGCTTCCCAAGCACGTTGGGAAAACCACATTCACAGACGCAAGGCGCTATTTTGATCTCATGGATTTTATCATTACAAATATACATTTTTCCATGGGATAGTTCTAGCTTTAGGTCAGGTTCCTTAGAGGCAGAGCCTGAGATGAGTCTTGTTCAAGTGATTTATTGAGTTTTTTCAAGGAGAAGGAGAATCAGAGAAACAGGATAGGGCAGGGGAAAAGGGCTAAACAAGAATTTGGCTCCAGCTGGAGTCTAGCTTCCGTGTGATCCCATGGGGAGCTCTGGGGCGAAAGCTGCACCACAGGGTTAGGTTAGGAGGGCTGGCCCTTTGTACCCCCATGACAGTCACTTACTGGCCACTGGCCTTAGAGGCCACGTGTCTGTGCGCCTGTCCACGTAGCCTCCT